AATCCGACGAATTTGAGGAACCGAAGCATCGCCTCTTCTCCTGGAGGGGTGCTGCTGTCTCTGGCGGTGTATGCCTTCTCAACGTCTTCTCGGCCCGCTGGTGTTGGGGGAACGGTTCCCGCCCAGTCGTACCTTCAGGTACGATGGGCGAGAGCGCAGTCCTCGGTGCGGGCTCCTTACCCGGTGAGAAGGGTTTCCGTGTTGGGATCTGTGAGTAGGAGGACACTACTCCAGTCCTTTCCGGATAAAAGATATCGCGATACGCGATTGGTCGGTCAAGTACACCAGGACGGTCGGGTGGTCTTCATGGTTTGGGCTTAGGTGGGGGCTCCCCCTTGTCCTTATCGGACATACTGAGAACCTACCTAAGTCAGTCAGGTAATCTATAAAAAGGCCCTGTCTAAAATGCCAGCCGTTCGGCACGAAGCGCGACGCGGATGGTGAGGTATAAAATGTATTGGCGTAATCACACTGGGAACTGCCTACCCTTTTTATAGCAAAAGGGTTGGGGGAAGTGCGACGGTGGCACTTTATAACGCGACTAGGCACAGGATGCACGAAGCGCATAAAGTGCCAAGAATCACCTAGGGGCCGGTGACCTCGACGCCTCACGGAATCACGGGACTCAACGTTCGGCGGAGTATGTCGTACCGGCGGTCATATGCAGCCACTGCTAACTACAAACAACGCACACCTAGGAGATCCTTACGACCTCTCTGTGGATTGTTTACCACCGGCGATTTTTCCGTAGCTATACGACCCTAGGCTTTCAAGAAAAGAACTTACTCCTTTCTAAAAGGCCAGCAACGCACCTGCAATTCTCCTGGTGTTGCAGTTGTTCATGGACAGCGGTAGTCACTTACCATTGGGTGGATTTATGCTGGTTTGTCCTCTCTCCTATAAAAACAACATCTGTATTGTTTTACAATACAGATGGCTTAGGACTTTGTTGCAATTTATGCTTTGTGGGAAAGAAGGCTTGTGGTGAGTTGTAATGAATAGTGGAATGAAACTCACAATCAAAACGACGCTTTAAAAAAAAATTAAAACCGTTCTAATATAAAATCCGTTTACTTATGTTACTTATAACATTTTCTTCTGTCTGGGTCCATTACTTTAAAAGCTTTTAGCTTAGTTATTGCTACTTATTGGGGCGTAGCGTAGCTGTAATCCCAAAAACTAACATTCCGATTTCAATGAAACTTATCACAGATACTTTACGTAGTTTGTATAGACTCATACTTACAACAGTGTATACATTAATTTTTATTTCTCTAGGATCAATGAAAAGAGCGAAGGGAGCGTAGCTCTTTTATCTAGCCTACGATACAGTTTTTATTGCTTAATGGCCAACTCATATATATATATATACACATACATATATATATACACACACACACACACACATATATATATATATATATATATATATATATATATATATATATATATATATATATATATTGGAAAGAGTGACAAAGCAAATTTATGTTGCAGAAGTGAATAGAGGAGTCGGAATTTTCGTTTCGTCCTAGGCGAAAATTTTCGACCAAATTGGCGATATATTGAAAATGGGCCAAATTAGGAGTACCCTTAATCGACGAGCATGTATGCGTGATTATATGAATGTGGAGGAGGCGAGAGAGGTGTGTCAGGATCGTGCCAAATGGAAGTCTGTAGTATCTGCCTACGCTTGTAGGTGATAGGCGTGAGTGTTTAGGTATTATTCTGTATTTACAAGTTGGCCATTAAGCAATAAGTAGCAATGTCCAAGCTATATATATCGTTTAAGTTTAAATATAAATGATTAATCAGCCACTATAATTCATTATTGGGCACTAAATTAGCAGCTTAAGGTACACGTGGCGGTACAATGACGTGATAAAAGCATTATATTAGCATTAAAGTGTAGTGTTTTAGTGTTCACGGCTAGAACTGAAATATAACGGTTCTCGTTGAAAAATCGTGGTACGATGAATAATGTTTTTGTAAATTTAAGCGTTTACATTTGGTAAATTTAATCCTCATGGTATTGCAACTCGCGATATGGTATGTTAATCTAAAACGGTACGTGATTTTATGTTATTACCTTAAAACGTCAATGGATTAAGGTTGATCAGGACCACGCTTTGTGGCATTCCTTGCCGGAGGCCTATGATCAGGGGAATGCGGAATGTAGTTTACTCCCAAGATTTATATATATTTCGTGTTCGTGCGCTTCAAGCATATGAAATTTTTATTATAAAATATTAGAAAACGGTTAATGTAAAGAATAACATCAAATTCGTATCTCTAGTTTAGGATTAAATATTGTACTATAAACAATTTGTTATTGGTATTGGTCTATAATCTTTTTAATAGCTTCATAGTCATATAACATTTTTTATAATAAGTAACTTTGTCCTACTTTTATCCGCAACACGGGTATACCTAGTGTAAAATTTATAAAGCGCACCAGAGTTTTATTTTTTACATTCATACAAAAGCTGGATAATGTTTCGCATTAGTTATATTTGATACGGTCGTAAGTAAAAATATTTCTGTTTTAAAGTTGACTATATAAAAGAAGGAATTATTTTAGTGTTTACGTTTTACTACGTTTTCAGAAGAAATTACGAACATTGATTTAACTTGAATTTAGCCATTTTGAGACGCCTGTTAATAGTTATAAGCTGTAAATTCCAGGAGATATGGTCATATTTACGTCAATTAAAAACAAATCTTATACAACTATTGAGAAGGCGCTCTAACTTGTTGAGAAGATTTTACAATAGGTCACATCAGCATAATCAGCATAATCAATAATGGGAAGGATGAGGATATCAATCAAAATGAGCTTAGTTTTGGAAGGAATTTTTTTTAGACGATACAGGGAACTCAGGGCAGAAACAACTTTACGGCTTATTTCAACAATCGCAATCCCCAATTCATCTATCTAATGAATAGTATTCTAAACTGACGTTAAGCTTGTGTTTGTGTAAACGAGTAGAAGAGTGTTTCTTCGCTTGTCGCTTATAGTCATTACTCAAACTGGTTTATCGACTATTAATAATACGGTTGTATATGAAATAGTTTTAAGAGTCATTAAAAATCAAATCAAAAACGATTGAGGAAATACAAACAAATGTTTGTACACGCTCCACTAAGTGGTGTAATCAGGATGATAACAAAAATGTAACTTTAAATTCCAATTCCATGTTTCTGCATCAATTAAATTTCGATTTTATAAAGTTCAGTGTGCCCTATAAATATTAAACACTTAAAATCATTATGAAATAAATGCAAGTCGTTTTCAAAGAAATATATTTTTAGCCCAATTGAAGAATACATTTAAAGAAAACGTGAGATAGTATCACCTGTTATTTCGTCATAATTTCGTTAATGAGACGTCTGACGTATTTTCTTTTTGACACATATTTAATTAATTAAAGTGGCATTTATAAATTTAAGAAAATGTTGAAAACTAATGCTAACAATTGTTTTAGGTCTAAGAAGTAATTATATACACTAAAAAAGGCAAACACCCATTACTAAAGTATTTCTCTGAACCATTTTAGGGTTAGTGTGTATAGCGAAAGTATTTATAATTAGTGTTTATAATGTCATTAGTTTTTAAATATAAAAAATATTAGACTCAGATTATTTTCCTTTCACAAATAAAGTTAGAAGTTTGTTATATAAGTATAGATTCGTTAATTAAAATATTTTAATAATTTTCTACGAAACCTAAATAATAAACCCATTTACAATCTTTGTTACAATTCACATAAACAAGGTCAGGTGTAAAAGAAACTGCTTAATTTATCCGCGGTAACATCCATTAAATTAATTATCAACTATGTGTCAACTATGAACCGATTTAAAAAAAATCTGATTTTTTAATATATTTAAAGAACAAAAGTTTACTCCATTGCTGAGATAAAAAGTTACAGGCCATATAACAACTAGTTAAGTAATTAAAGTGGCAAAATTTAAAAAATGTGGAAAACTATTAATTATAACAATTATTTTAGGTCTAAGAAGTATTTATATACACTATAAAGGGCAGAAACCCATTATTAAAATCTGTATACGTCACACTCATGGGGCACAGGCCCCCCGCTCATTTCTGAGAAGGTTTTTAAGGACAAAGAATTGTCCGCCACGCTGCATGCATGCATATTTTTTCTTATTTTTCAGACATGCAGGTTTCCTCACGATGTTTTCCTACACCGCCGAGCACGTGGTAAATCAGCACTTATAAATTGCACTTAAGAATTTCACTGGTCCCGGCGGGGATCGAACCCGGTTTGCTCGCGTACTGTGAAATTTACAGCGAGCGCTAACCATCTAAGCTACCACGGCTTATTGATGTTGAGAAAAATTGTATACGAATTTTAAATGTTAAACCTTCTCAAGGGACTTATATAGGCTATAACTTTACCTTTTTACTTTACATTTAAATGTAATTGTTTAGACGACATCCTAGTTGTTACAAAACAATTGATATTCCTTCGTCCACTCCAAAGAGTAAAAGAAATAAACTTAATTAAGAGTAACCGCTGAATCTAGATACTACTATACCTACTATACTAAAATCTGGAAACTAAAAGAATTAAATAATTTTCTTTCTAAAGTCGGGTTTTAATTTCTGTATACACTACGTCTTAGCACACACTTAAGAAAATTTTACTTCTTGAAGTAGGTCCTTACTTTTTAATAATAGTTAATATTAAACATATACAAACTTATGCGAGTATTATACATCAATTTACTGCATATCTTACTAGGTTGTTACTCCACGTAGTTGGAAGCCGCCCACTAGATAAATCGATGTAATAACAAGTAGATGGATACAAGTGGCTCAGGACTGTGCTTTGTGGCATCCCTTGGGGGAGGCCTTTGTACTGCAGTGGACACATCAAATGTTGTGTTGATCATGATAATGATATTTTATTAAACTTATCAAGAAGGATATGCAAACAGCATAAAAATATATAACATGTTTTTTTCTTTCCCAGGGCTTCATGTCCATCTTCGCTGTTCCATACGTGGGAAACCTTACTGCAAGAAGTCGAAGCAGACGTGTTGGGTAGTAGCAATGCTGCCACTTCTTTGGAACGTTTGGTGGCCACACCTCTCATCGATCGAACCTTTCACATGAAAGTACAAGCACGAAAATTATTCGTCCATCGTGAAGGCTGTGAAGTCATATTGGGAAAAGCGGACGATCAATTAAATAAGGTAAGATATTCTAGAATAAATTGCGTAATTTACTTTGTTTAATGCTTATTATAATTATAACTTTATTCTCCAAACACTCACATATTAATTCTATAGGTAAGAGACGCATCATTTCTAATACAAAAAAAAAAAACTATTACCCCACATAAGTTTAAAAGACACCTGCAGAAAATTAAATGTTGTATTTTTGGTGATCTTGGACACGACAGTATATATATATATAAATAAAAAAAAATATATATATATATATATATATATATATATATATATATATATATATATATATGTATATATATATATATATATATATATATATATATATATATCATCTATGCACCAAGGTTATATAATAACAATTAACATTTTTTGTTGATATTTACTTTTTTTGTAGTTTGGTCTATATTTCATCATATTATGTTGCCAAAAACAATAAATAATAATATAAAAACAATAAATAATAATATCAAAACAATAAATAATAAATATATAAAAAAATGTATATATGTTTCTATCAATAGTAGGAAATGCCGTTAAAGCTTTTATTAATACATATAATAAAAATGTCAATTGCTAGTGTCTGCACATTATATAATTTTGAGTCAAAAATGATCTAGAGGGACTTAAAATAAGTAGTTAAATACATTTGAATCATATTGTCTATGTATGTTTTTAAAAGATCACTGACATTTTTCAACATAATAATAATTACAATAAATTTCATTTCTTTCATATACAAGGAACGTATTTTAACAAACACTAATTTCTCGAGATAATTTGCATTTCGAAACATTAATTAATGTTTTGTGCTTTAGAGCCGAATTAATATAATACGGCTTAGGATACAATATTGTTCGCCAGTTAATTTCAGGTAGACGGGCTATGTCTATTGTTACATACATTGTAGTAACGTTGATTGATTTTCGAGTTACAATACCAAATATAATTTTGTATTATGAATATAATGTTTATGTCTTTACCATATGTTTCAGACAATATTTTAAAACAAATCAAGGTGAAAATACTTCGATAGTTATATATTTATAGGCTTAGTAACTTTCGGAATTAAAAATATAATACAACATGTAATAATAAAACACCTATAAATTTAATAACACAATAAAATGGAATTTCGTGAATTTTACGATAGTAATGGTAGTGTTAAGTGCAATTAATGGACAATGTGTGTTTGTAAGTAAGCATCCTGCGGAAAAAATACAAAAAAGTTAGTTTTTCATCTTTAATCGCACTTCACAATAAATATACCAAAATATTCTAGATATATGCCTGTTATAAATCATTAATCAAAACTAGAATTACAATCTAGCGAAATTCTTTCGCTTAAAAGTATATTTGTTTTTGGTTAAGTCTTCTAAAAAAGAATTATGTAGTTAAACAATAATATTGATTCAGGTCATCCTTAGTCTGGTAGCCATATGTGCGCATATTATATGTGCATTATCAATGTAAGGCAAGTTAGTATTCTATGGATAAATGGATAGTTTATGTGAAGCAGCTTATACCAATAGATTATTTTCAATATAATCCACGTAAATACACAAGGCGTGTATTTGATGATTTATATTGGTTTCAAGGCTTTAAGTATTCAAGAAAATGCACTCATTCATGTATAATTGTTGATAACTTTTTTAAATAATCGAATGAAGTTGTTATATTTTTTCATAATCTACACAAAAAATCAAACATTTTAAATTAAAAAAAATGTTTGTTTATTATTTTTTCACTTTGGTTTTTATTGAGTGTAAGATCGAGCGATGCGAGCTCGGGACTTAGGGCGTCCCAACTCGGACAGATTAAGTTAGAAGGAGATGGCGGGATTTATTGAACGAGCGAAGCGAGGGAATAGGATCCGGTCGACAGAGCTCCTACTTCTGAGTGGTTTATAAAAAAATAACCACGAACGAGATGGCGGGGTCTATTCGCTCGCTTCGCTCGCTAGCCCGCCCCCGTCACTACATCAGATTTGATAGACTGCAAATCCTCGCTAAAGAACACCGATTCCTTACAAGGATGATTCGCGAGGCTATTTAAATCAAAAAACATCCTAATTTCAATAGAAAAGATAGCTGGGTGCTACCATCTGCTTGGGATCCTATAATAAATAAAATTAAATCCCAACCCAAGCATACAACTGCAAGACTTCAAGATACCATAAGTTCATACTGCATAGATCGAAACAAAAGTAAAATTTTAATCTATGGTAACCGCGGTTAACTATGACATATGGACGTTGAACATCTCAGTCCCGCCCGTGGCCATGAGTGCTGTAAAGCGTTCGAAACGTCGGGTATTTAAAAAGTTAAATATACGCGATAAATTCCGTAAAAACTAGTATTATTTCAATGTGTAGTGTTCGCGTAAATATAAGAAATCATTACATAATCGCTTAGTTTTTCAAATTTAGTACAGAGAACTCTTTTTCTAATAATACGAGGGTGGATTGAAAAGTACTCGGCCTAACCAAGAAAATAAACACATACTAAATCAGTTATATTTTTATTTTTCTACATAATCACCATCAAGTTCAATACACTTTTGCCACCTCCCCTTCCAAGCATTTAGACCGTTGAAAAAAAATGATTCTTCCTTAGAGTCAAAATATGCGTCTACAGCTGCTTTGACCTCGTCGTTTGTCGAAAATCTTTGACCTCCCAAGTGCTTTTTTAGGTTAGGGAACAGAAAGAAGTCTGATGGTGCCAGATCAGGTGACTACGGCGGATGCGGTAACAGTTCAAAGCCACAGTTGTGAATTTCAGCCATTGACTGTACTGACATGTGAACACGGGCGTTATCTTGATGAAACAGGACTTTTCTTCTGAGCATTCCTCGACGTTTTTCTTTTATTTCCTCTCGTAAACGACGTAGTAAGGTGCAGTAGTAATCAGAGTTTATAGTCTGACCCCTTTCAAGATAATCAATCATAATCACACCTTTCGAGTCCCAGAATACTGAAGCAATCACCTTATTTGCCGACAAAATCGACTTAGCCTTTTTAGGGGGTGGTGAACCAGGTCTTCTCCACTGTTTTGATTGTTGTTTTGTTTCCAGTGTACAGTAATGAACCCATGTTTCGTCCATAGTAACAAAACGATTCAAAAAATCATCTGCATCGGCTTCAAATAACTCCAAACAGTCACGTGAAATAGTCAATCGCGTCCTTTTTTGTTCAACTGAAAGCAGTCGCGGAACCCACCTCGCAGACACCTTGTGGAAACCCAACTCGTTGACAATGATGTTTTGAGTTCATTCATAAGAGATGCCTAAAATCTCGGCTATCTCTCTAATTTTTAATCTGCGGTCTCCCATTATTAAATCAAGTACTTTTTTTAATATTTTCGTCAGTAGTTGACGTCGAAGGCCTTCCAGAGCGGGGTTCATCTTTCACACTCTCTCTACCACGCTTAAATTCTGCTATCCATTTTTTGACGGATGAATATGACAGAGCACAATCGCCTAATGTACTGACCATGTCATCATGGATGGCTTTTGATGATAGCCCCTTCTTATGGAGGTACTTAATGACGGCACGCTGCTCGATTTGCTCCATTCGCGGAAATTATGTCCGATTACTTTGTTAATAAATTTATAAAATCACAACTAATTATCGCACACGTTTCGAACTTCACACAATGAACTAGTCTGAACTGAACTAAATAATGTGGGTAGATTTGATTTATAGAATTGAATGGATCTGTGTTAGGCCGAGTACTTTTCAATCCACCCAGGTAATAATAATAATAAGCAATCAAAATATCTGGACCTGGCTCACGAGGTGACCGACATGTGGGGTGGTCTGCCGACCGAAATTATTCCTGTAGTCGTCTCTGCGAATGGGCTAATCCCAGTTAGCCTCTCTGGTCATCTGAGGCGACTGGGACTCCGTGACGGACCGCTCCGGGCTCAAATGCAGAAAGCGGTGCTCCTTGATACTGCCCGCATCGTCCGCCGGTTTCATTCCCTTTCCCCCTAACCCTCGGCCGTTTGGTCTCCCCTGCCGAGGGCTTCCATCTGGTTGCGCTTTTATTTATTTATGTATTTTTGTATTTCTTTTATTTTATTGATATTTATGTATATTTAACTTTTCATTTTCATTTATAATTATATATTTATATATCCCAACCAGATGAGAAAACTATATAGATACCCCCCATAATAATAATAATAATTTTATTTCAGATACAAGCTCCATAATTTGTTAGTAATAAATAATATAAACTTAAAATTTATGTTAATAAATATACAACTAAAAACAACAATGCTTATTTTATATTAAATATAACAGCTCTGGACCCCATATGTAGTGTTCCAGTGCCGCACTACCAGACAATCAAGCCTACCTAATACAGTACATAGGAGTCCGTTGGCACTGTCTCGCACGCGTCGCATCAGGGAGGCCACTCTCTTCCGCATTATTGTATCAAAGCTGTCCGTGTTAGCCTCAACAAACATACCTGATGCGCTGCAATATCGAGACAGCCCCATTAGCATCCTAAAGCCATTATTATACTGAACACGTAGAGCATTTACGGATCTGCGAGTATACTTGACCCACAGGCTGCAGGTGTAAAATGTTTGGCAGTACGCCTTAAAAAGGGTTATCTTGACAGCTTTTGTACACCTTGCAAACCTGCGAACCAGCATGTTGCACCTCACTGCTAACGTTCTACGTTCTCGTTTAATATCCAAGTCATCAGAGAGGTCATCTGTACCCAGTGCTCCAGGTATTTAAATTTGGTGACTCTACTTAAAGGTCCTCCAAGCATGACCATTGGGATATCCTTGGGTTCCTTATTCCCTGCCTTGAAAACAAGTAGTTCACTCTTTTTGGAGTCATATCTGAGGCCATGGGCTTCCGCATATCTCAAGTTTCAAGTTTCAAGTGCTCTGATCGAAGGGCTCAGCAGCACCATGTCGTCCGCGTAACTGATGCTGTTTACGAAGTTGCCATCTATTGAGCATCCGACGCCAGTTCTGCTAAGCTCATCGATCAATCTATTTATATATAGGTTAAAGAGCCTCGGTAAAGTTAAGGTGAAGAAATGAAGTCTCACTCCACATTCCAACCTATATTCACTTGAGTATGAACAGAACCTTACATTATTTGATTGGTTGTGGTACCAATACCTTAATATATCGACTATCTCACTAGGCGTACTCGTTTCCCTCCGAAGCTTATCCCATAATAGGTTGTACGAGACTAGGTCAAATGCCTTCCACAAGTCCAAAAAACAGGCTTAGACAGGCGTTTTTCTCGTAACATAATACTGGACGGTATGCTTGAGTCGCAAGATTGCAGTTTCAGTGGACAGTTTAGGTATAAACCCAAACTATGCCTCATGTACCTGTATATGTTTACTTATTCGACGATCAAGAAAACCATCCAATACTTTGGCTATCACAGTAGCTAGCGAGATCGGTCAATAATTGTTCTTGTCGGCAGCGTCCCCGGTCTTATTCTTTAGAACTGGTACCACTATGGTTTTCATAAGTTCCTGAGGTAAGTATTCATACCCTATACATACATTATAGAGCATAGTCAATACCCTAGGCAGATGAACTCCCGCATACTGCAGGTGCTCAATACTGAGGTCATCATGTCCAGGTGATTTACCACGTGTCATATTATTTATGACATTTGCGACTTCTTTCGCAGTAAATCTGGCAAATTTACTGCATGATTTCTCCTCAGTATCGAACACCGGCTGCACCGGTTCCAATGGAGATTCCACTTTGAAGTGTTCCCTAAAAACTTCTGCGATATGATGGGGCTCACACTTACCATCGATACTCGCAGGTAAGCATGATGCAGTTTCCAGCTTCTTTGTTTGTTTCCAAAAACTCTTAAAATCTTTTTCTTTTTTGTGAGTAGGCAAAATATCCATTTTTATTTGGTACTTATTGTCTTGACACCACTTAAGCTTTGACTTAAAACACCTCCTAGCTCATTCTGTCATATACATAATCCGCACTGAGCTTACCATACAGCAACCACATTTGGAAACTGCATCGTGCCTCCTGATAGACCTCCCGTAAGTACCTATTCCACCCAACAACCAGTTTATGTTTACTACGCTTTCTTATCTCATAGCTAGTTTCGGCAGTTTCTCTTAAGATGTAAACAATATTATTATACAACCTATCAATTACAGTTCAATGATCTACATTTTTACACACTTTATCCGCACAAAAACTAAATTTTATCGGAAAATCAATATTTCTTAAATTATTATGACATATTTTACTGTATATGTTAATCTGATCAACGCCCCTCTCACCCCACTTCACCTTGTTACAACATTATTCTTTATATTGCGTTTTAAATGACAGATTACCTATCTTAAAATCTACTTCCAGTGGAAAATGATCTGACCAATAAACATCAAAGCATACCTTACAATTTAATACACATCGCCAAGCTGCCTCTGTTACCAGACAGTGATCAAGCCATC